GCTTAAATGCTGTGAGTCAGCAAACCCAGCTCCCTGAATTAAGCAACCAAGAGGCACTTCGTTCCAGTAAGCATCAACCCAAAGGCACTCAGCTCCACTTCTGTGGGTCAGCAAGCCCAACTTCCCAATTAATTGCCCAGAGGGACCCCATCCCATAAGCCAAAAGGATCCCTCCTGCCCAAAAGCACTCAGCTTTACTTGCTCAGTGCGCTGGGACGTCAACCCAACCACTCTGTTCCAAGTTCTGGCTCCTGGTTCTGCTGATGTTCCTCTGATGTCGTAGCTGACTTCGGGATCCAAGAAGTCCATTACACAGGAATCTCAGGCCCATAAGACCTGCTCCACTGCTGGCTCTTGATGGTAATGAGATGCCTCCTCCTGATTCTCAAGGCTTATTTTATACAGAGTAGAATGGCACTCTAGGGAATCATGTTCACAATTACAAGTATATCCTAATAGTATCATCTCCACCTTCTTACCAGATCCATGCAGGGAAAGGTCATTTGGTGGGAGTTAGAGATGGTGGCTAGAATGGCCACACAAACAGAAAAAGAGAAGGCAACGAATGTGCAAATGTGCTTTACACAATAGATGTATGTACAGATTGTGATACGAGTTTTATGAGCCCCCAATAAAATGATTTTAAAAAAAAAAAGCAGGAAGGATCCCCAGGCAAACAGTGTGGCTTAAGTATTTTTGGGTTTTGGTGTTGTTATGATGAGTTTTTGGTAATGATGATTCAATCGTTTTGGGAAATTCTTGCACTGTATCCAAGTATTTTGATCTGGTGCGTGTGGCTCTGTGGGAGTTCACATCTCTTCTCTCTGGCACAAGTGTGTGTGGAATGTTTCATTCATCTGAGGAGTCCAAAATAGCAAATGAATTAAAAAACATTTTTCTTTTCTCCTATTCAATGTGATGGAATGAACAAAAATGAAATAAAAATAAGCCATATTGTTTTAAAAATAAACAAAGAAAGCAAATGTGCCAATCGGCATAAAAAAAGTTCATTGGTTTTATACTTTTTCTTTTCTAATATGAAATTTGCTTGCAACCATCACAGATACTACTTATTGCCAAAACTTTTTCATCACACCAAGCAGAAATTCTGTATCTAGTTAAACAATAACTCCTCCCCTCCCTTCCCTAAAACACTGGTAAGCATTAATCTACTTTCTGTTTCTATGCATCTGTCTAGTCTATATATTTCAATATAAATGAGATCACAGATTATTTTCCTTCCTTGTCTAGCTTATTTCACTTAGCATATGATTTTCAAGATTCAACCATGTTATCATGTAACAGTGCTTCAATGATCTTTATGGTTCAATAATATTTCATTATATGTATATACCATATTTTAACTAGCATTTGTCTGTTGATAAGCATTAGAGTGTTCTAATATAAGCTTTTAATGCTAGAAGTCTCTCTTTAAGTCCTGTTTTAACTGCATCCCACAAAGTTGAATTTCATTTTTCATAGTTCAAAATATTTTTAATTTTTGCTACACCATACACAGATAAACACACCTATGTTCTTTGCACATTATGCACATAACAGAAAGATAAAAACAATCTAAACATCTGGATACATGAACTACAGCATATACACAATGGAATACTGTAAAATGTTGGAGAATAATGATGAATCCATGAAACCTCTCCCAACATGAATAAACTGGAGGACATTATGCTGAATGGAATAAATTAATCACAGGACAAATGTTATTACAAAAAAGTCAAGCTGATGCTTATGTACTAAAAGAAGTATTATTTGTTGGTTACCGCGGATGGGAAGGAATGGAAGGAAAACTCACTAACTAGACAGTACATAAGTGTTCATTTGGGGGGAAGAGTCAGGCAAGACAAAATAAGCACAAAGTTGGCATATCAATGCAAAGAAGACCCTAGAAGGTACACCAGAGTAAGAGGTAACAATTGTAAATGCTATTATATACACAATCCTACAACAACAAACAATAAGTTAAAAGTGGATATATAGGTAAATACATAATCTGAGTAGGCTTGAGATGGCATATGACAGAGTACCCATAAGCATATATATGTATGGGAGAGGATAATTCTATGTGCTGAAAATTTATCCAGGTATATAATAGAGCATAGCAGCCTTCAAAATGTTCATGGAAAAATTCTATTATCTTTTCATTTCATTTTCCCACAAAATTTTAAAGACATCCTCCTATGGGAGCAAAGTTATGCAAACTTTTAATCATAACCAAACACCCTGAAAGACTGAGTAAAGTGCTTGAGGAGTTAAGACCATAGTCTTGAGCAGGCGTCCTCAAACTGCCACCCGCCGAGGATATTTATCCGGCCCGCTGGGTGTTTTTGCCCCATTTGTTTTTTTACTTCAAAATAAGATATGTGCAGTGTGCATAGGAATTTGTTCACAATTTTTTTAAACTATAGTTCGGCCCTCCAACGGGTCTGAGGGACAGTGAACTGACCCCCTGTTTAAAAAGTTTGAGGACCCCTGGTCTTGAGGACCATAGACTATAGGTCAGGTGGCATTATATAGACCATAAAGATAATGTTCTACATTCCTACTTTGATAAATAGCAACTGGGGTCTTACAAGTTTACAAGTGGCCCAGTACGATATAACTGTTGGGTCTCTTCATGCCTGGAACAAAGATGAATAAAAAGAAAGGAGGGAAACACAAAGAACCAAGGAAATAATCCAAAGGACAAAAGGATTATATGGCTGAGACCAAATGATGCCCAACTAGCTACTTCTCTGATCAGGATCACAACAGTGGTCTGGACAAAGAGGAAGAAAACTATGTAAAACAAAGTTCAAAATCATTAAAAAACAAAAAAATTAACTGGCCTGATACAGACTGACATCTGAGACTAAGGCTGCTAGACATCTTTACACCTGGTACTCAATGGAATTCCAGATATCATCTTTCAGCTAAGGAATAGACAAGTCTATAAAGTTAATAACACCCATGAGGAATGTGCTTCTCAGAATAATGAACCATGTAAGTCCAAAAAGTTTCTACTACCTCCCCACCAAAAGAAAGTTCTGAAAGCAGGAAGGGGCAGAAAAGATGGACGAATGGAAATAAGGAAGCCAGAAATAAAGTAAGAAGAATGCTATGACATTGAAGGGAGTCTAACTAATGTCACAATGCAAAATAAGTATAAGCTGTTAATGGGATACTAATTTGCCCTGTAAACTTTCACAGTAAACTGTTAAAAAATAAGCCCTTGCATAATTCATATTCTATACTAATCACAGTGACTACAATGACAACTTATAAAAACTTTTTATAAGAGTTTTAAATTATTGATCTCACCAAGCTTAAAATATTGGCAAATTTTACTATATGAATTTTCTCTTTTGGTCATACTAGATTTCTAGTTATACTAGTGAGACTATTCCACATAAGTCAACAAAATACTCTATTTTCAATCTAGCAAGTGGCTCATTAGCTTCCCAGATATAATATTTACAGATTTTATTGTTTAGAAGTAATTCTGAAGATCTATGATCTATAGTTTGCTGAGGCATGACTAAAAAGATGACAGACTGATGTGTAAGAGAGGTGCACTTAAGTTAATACATAGCTGGCCATGCATTCTATAAAAGAACCATAGACTACATGGTACACATAAACTAAAGAACTAAGCTAATAAGGCAAAATACCTGTGGACATAAAAGTACATTAAGGGTCTATGGAATTCCAAGTGGCTTTTTTTCAGGTATTATTTATACTTATTTATAAAATTTAAAATTATTTTCACCACATAATATAATAATCCTGGTAATTTATCTTTTGCCCTTATGAAAATATAATTTTCTTATTAAAATTAACATAAGTTGAAAATTAGGAAGTATGTAGCATCAAAAATAAGAAAATAAAAATAATTAATGTTGCATAATACTTTTAAAATGCTAAATAACCAGCTCTCAGCAGATAAAGGGTCATCAGCGATATTATGGAACTCTTTTGAAACTGCAAAGGGTTTGAATGAATTTAAACTGCCTCCTGTGTAATTATATTCAATTCTTTGCTATGAACCAGTGTGACAACTGAGTTGATCTAAACACTTAAAATACAATTTGGACATTTTCAGTGTTTAAAAATATAGAACAGGCAACCTTCTGCTTGATTTTGAGAATCTATTACGTTATTACCAAAGCAGACTACTGGTTTAAAATCTTATCATTAAAATTATAAAGATAATAAAAAGTTAAGTGAAAATATCTGATGATCCAGTTTCCATTAAAGAATTTGTCTTTTAATCACTAAAATTTACACTAGATAATTTTTTTATGTTATCTACTGTGTTTTACAAGGAGCTTTATAGCACAGTGGTTTGGCACATTGGGATGCTACCACAGGTGAGCAGTTTGAAACCACCAGTTATTCTACAGGAGAAAGCTGACCCCAAGACTGTTTCAGAAACCCACAGTGGTAGTTCTACCATTCCTTATAGGGTCCCTATGAGTCAGAATTGACTTGCTGGCAGTGAGTAGTGTAAATATATTTTTTAAGTAGTGTAAATGTATTTTTCTTATTATAAGAAAATAAAAGTCAATTATCTATGTACATATACCCTTTAAAACCTACATATTACTTTTAAAATTCAAATATTCCAGAATTTATGGAAGTAGAAGCTAAGCAAACAATTTAATGCCTAGAGTACTTCTTTGCAAATTGATTGAAATATCCTGGAGTAACCTTAGCTACATTTTCATTAAAGATTTATTTCAATTACTTGTAAAAAGTAACTTTAGTCCTTATAAGTGGCAATTAATACATGCAACATTTTTACTATGTGTGAACATCTTTAAAATAGGTGTAAACCCAATAATGGTTCTTTTCTAAGTACATAGCTGGAAGATAAGCATGTTGAAGTCAGTTTGTTATTTCTCAAGAAGCAGTAAGGCTTCTAATTAACACTAGACTACTGTTTCTAAAATTTCAAGTGTATTATAATGGAAGGAAAAATAAAATATTAGTGCTGTTACCTTTTAGCCGGTGACTTAGAATCTGTTCCAAAATAGCTGCAAAGTTGTTAAATTCAGGAGAAGAATCATCAATTGTCTCAAAGCAGGATCGATCAATCAGGGTCTTCACAGAAAACCTATGACAGAAGAAAAATAAATTGTTTTGCTTTTTAGTCAGTTGATTCATTCACCAAAGTAGGAAAAATGAAAGGAAAGCAATCTGGCAAAGAAATACTTCAAAGGGCTGTATATTCAGAATACTCAATTTAATCAAATATGCTCTGTAAATATAAAATTTTACTCTTTTTGCCCAGAATTATCAGACTTTTCACTTAAAAGGGTATATGTAGGGCTTTCAAAAAGTTCATGGAAAAGTAGAAGTAAAAGATAATGGAATTCTTCTGCTAACTTTTTGATGCCCCTTTGGATGTACTATCTACTCACCAAATTAAGGCAGAAATAGCTCACTGTCTTCAGAGCTATAAGAATAAGAAACTAAGTAGGACCTAAATGATTACTACCAAAACATTTTTTTAAATGCTACTAATTTTGAGCTTCAGACCCAAATATTCAGAGTTTCTGACCACAGAATAAAATAGAATATGAGCATTTGTTGAGATCCAAAGTTTGAATGAACTACTAACAGGAAAACTTGCAAATCTGAGAAGTGTGCTATATTTTTTTCTATCATATTATCATTTGCCTTTATTTTTGACTGCTAGCATTTATGCTTTTCCCAGACCTCAGCTCAAGTCTTCTCTTCAATGAAGAATTATCCTGTTCTCTAATGAGAATTATTTTCTTCCTCCTAGAACAAATTAATATATTGCTTATATCTCCGTGAGACAATTAAAATTTATATTACAATTGCTTTCTGGACTGTCTACCATCATCCTAATTAGACCCTATAACCTCTCCCTTCAGGACAGAAACATGTCTTTTGCATATTTGTTATCTTCCTCAGACTTTGGGCAATGCCTAAGCACTGTTTACTTGCTCATTTATATGTTCTATTTTTAAAGAAAAATAAATATACATTTACACATCAATATTATGTCAAGACAAAAATTATTTTTAACATATAGTCATATAAATATGAACAAAATCATGATATAAAACAGTTCGATCTCCCCAAACTCGGCCATGCTACCCCTTTTTAGTTAAACCCTATTGCTAACTGCAAGGTCAGTGGCTCAAAATTACCAACACTCAGTAGGAGCAAGATGACACTTTCTATTCCTATAAAGATTTACACAGGGGCAGTCCTATTTCTTAAAAGGTTGCTCAGTCAGTAATGACTCTGGCTAGGTTTTGAGAAGTTTACAGAATTGATAGTAAATGATAAAAGGGCACAACTATGAGAGTTACATAATTAGTGTATAGGGTATGAGGCTGATAAAGGAACACTGGCTGTTTTCAGGCTTGAGGCTTGATAGTTAATGCTGTTTAATCCAGACAGAAATTACAGCAGACGAGTTATAAAGGGAACGTCAAGTAGCATAACAAGGAACGCAGTTTTATTTCCAAGGATGCATATATTTCAAGGTTGAGAAATAATTTAAAATAATTTATATTGTATCAAAGTTACTAATGAAGAAGAATGCTTCCAGCTTTATTGCCTTATTATTTACAGGTAGGCAGGTCTTAGGTTACACAAAAGAGATCTGTTCTTCAGTGTGTCTTTAAGTAAATCTTTGAGTCAAATTTATAGATAAATCATAACAAGTGCATATGGTTCTTCCTTATTTAACCTTAATTTAGTGCAAGAAAATAGTCAAAGCCCTTTCATGACTTAAAAACTGCATGTACAGCAAGTGAAGGTATGATGCAGATTTTGAGTTCAACTGTTTCAAATGAGGGAAAATTTACAAAACATTAAAGAACAAGTAGAAAGTGTGCATGATTAGGTTTTCCTAACCAGTAGACTACATAATATCCTACTCTCCTCCTATCAACACAAACCAAAAATCTCAAAATCAGTTGCTTAAGGTTCATTTTTTATTTTTAGCTGTACCACAATACCTACTCAAAACTTATTTCTCAACAATCAAAAATCATTATATCAAGAACCATGAAAAAAAAAAGAACCATGTATCATTATAATAGTTTTCTTCCCCTCAATATCACAAAAGCTAGCTGTGTTTTAAAAATGAAATCTAGGAGAGAATTCCACTACATCTAAAAAATATCCCACAGGTACAATGTTATTTCTTGATAATGATGGCATTAATATCGGTCACATATTTGCTGAAAATGGTAATACTAAGATGACAATTTGGTAAACTTCTTAAAAAAAAGGCAAGCCTAAAGAATAGCTTTTACCCAAGAATAAAAAATCATAAAGTAGTATTAAAATATTTTAATTAAGTTCAGACTTGAAATCTTTCTTTAAAAAATTCCTTTTCCCACCACTTCCAATGTCCACAGGAAATTTTTATTAGTGTAGAAACAAAACCCTCAATCATAAAAAAAAAAAGATCTCTTTTCCTTTGGCAAAATACAAGGAAAATGAGATAGCTACCAATGTCCTTTTTTCAATACACACCTATTAAATTAATTCATCCAATAATTCTGTAACTTACTGTTGTTGCTATTATTATGTGCCATCAGTCAGTTCTGACTCATAGCAACTCTTTGTACAATAGGACGAAGCACTGCCCAGTCCTATGCTATTCTCAGAATTGTTGTTTGAGCCCATTGTTGCAGCCCATTGTGTTAATCCATTATGTTGAAGCTGACCCTCTGTTACCAAACATGATGTATTTTCCGCAGAACCGGCTTCTCTGATAAAATATAGAAAGCATATGAGATAAAGTCTCAACATGCTCACTTCTAAGGAGCATTCAAGTTGTATTTATTTCCTCTAAGACGGATTAGTTTGTACTTTTGGCAATCCATAGAACTTCAAATAGTTTTTACCAACACCATAATTCAAATACATCAATTCTTCTTCAGTCTTCCTTTCATTATCCAGCTTTTCTATGCATATGAGATGACTGAAAATACTACGGACAAGTCGGTGTGGCCACGTCTTTGCTCTTTAACACTTTATAGAGGTCTTTTGCAGATTTACCCAAGGCAATATGCCCTTTTATTTCTTGACTACTGCTTACATGAGCATTGATTGTGGATCCACATAAAATGAAATTCGTAATAAATTCAATCATGTCTCCATTTATCATGAGGTTGTCCCTGGGTCTAGTTCTGAGGGTTTTGGTTTTCTTGAAATTGAGTTGCAATCCACACTGAAAGCTGTAGTCCTTGAACTTCAGCAGCAAATGTTTCCTCCTCCATTTATTAAACAAGATTGTGTTATCTGCATATCACAGATATGAGCCCTTTTTCTAATCTGATGCTGTTCTTCACATAGTCCAGCTTCTTGGATTAGTAGCTTAATATATAGAAAATAAGTAAGGTAAAGGATACAATCCTGACACACACCTTTCCTAATTTTGGACAACGTGGTATCGTCTTGTTCTTTTCTAACTATTCCTTGTTCTATGTACAAGTATTCATATGAGTACAATTAAGAGTTCTGAAATTCCCATTCTGAGCAATGTTATTCATAGGTTATTATGCTTCACACAGTAGAATGCCTTTGCATAGCTAATTAAACACAAGCAAACATCTTTCTGGTATTCTCTGCTTTCAGCCAGGTGCATCTGCCATCAGTAATGTTATCCTTCATGCCACATCTCTTCCGAATCTGGCTAAAATTTCTAGCAGCTCGGTTAAAACCGTTTTTAAATTATCTTCGCTAAAATTTTACTTGCATGTGACATTAATGATAATGTTCAATAATTTCTGCATTCTGTTGGGTCACTTTTCTCTGTAATAGGTACAAAGATGGATCCATTTTGGTCTTTTGGCTAGGATTTTGTCTTCTAAATTTCTTTCCATAGATTAAGGAGTGCTTCCAAAACTGTATCAGTCTGTTGAAACATTTCAATTGGTTCATCAACAATTCCTGGAGCCTTGTTTTTCACAAATGCCTCCCATCCAGCTTGGACCTTTTCCTTCAATACAATCAGTTCTTAATTAGATGCTACTTCTTAAACGGACTGAATGTTGACCAATTCTTTTGGGTACAGTGACTATGTATAGTCACTGTATACATGGTCCTTTTGATACTTCCTGCATAGTTCAGTATTTTGCCCATAAATTCTACAATATCGCAACTCAAAGCTTGAATTTTTTCTTCAGTTCTTTTTAGCTTAAGAAATGTTGAGTGGGTTCTTTTTTTGTTTGGCTTCCTAACTCCAAGCTTAATCTTCTCATATTGCCCTTTGGAACTTCCTGATCAGCCCTTTACTTAATTTCTTCCACTCACTTTAGCTTCTCTTTGTTAAAGAGCAAGTTCCAGAGATTCTTCTAACATTCACTTTGGTTCTCTTTCCTGTATTTTTTAAATGACCTTTTGCTTTCTTCATGCCATGATGCTCTTGATGTTCCAGAACTCACCAGTGCTTCAAGCATTAATGTTCAATACATCAAATTTGTTCCTGAAATCGTCTCTAAAATCAAGTGAGATATACTCAAGGTTCTATTTTAATTTTCCTCAGCTTCAACCTAAACTTGCATATGAGCAATTGATTGTCTGTTCCACAGTTGGCTCCTAGCCTTATTTTGGCTGAGGATATTGAACTTCTCTATCATCACTTCTCACAGTATAGTCAACTTGATTCCAGCATATTCTGACAGTCTACATGTATGGTTGTCCACCTGTGTAGATGCCATGTATATATCTGAATAAAAGTAAATGCAGTAAAGAAGTCATGGGTCTTTCACAATTCTGTCATTCAATCTCCAGCTTCCTTTCTATCACAAGGGCCATATTTTCTAACTACTAATCCTTCATTTTTTTTCTGAGCTTTGCATTTCAATCACCAGTAATTATCAATTCATCTTGACTGTATGTTTCATCAATTTCAGACTGAAGAATTATGTATGTCTTCAGTTTCTTCATCACAAACTTTTGTGGGAGGAGCCTGGGCCACATAGAGGGTTGTGCACTGGACTGCTAACCACAAAATCAGAAGTTCAAACCCACCAGCTGTTCCTTGGGAGAATGATGAGACTTTCTCCTCCTGTAATATATTTATAGCTTCAGAAATTCATAAGGGCAATTGTACC